GTACTTCATGGGCTTGGCCTCAGCCTCGCTGCCCCCCAGGCTCTTGCGGTGGCCCTGTGGGACAGGAGAGCCACCATCAGCGTGGGCAGTAGTGGTGTGGGGCTGGCACAGCCAGGACTCACCTCTGCCCAGGGGCTGGGAGCTGTGCTGGCCGAGGAGAGAAAGCCCAGGTCCAGGCTGGCGGAGGAGTTCAGGGAGCCCTGGGACTCCCTCCATAGCACAGCGCTTCCGCCACCTTCTCCCCCATCTAGGACAGACAGACAGACATGGGGGGGATGGCACGAGGACAGGGACACCCAGAGCTGCCCTGCATGTCTCCTACCTGCCCAGGAGGGCTCCCGTCGCTCGCCCTTGCGGAAGGAACGGCGAGGGCTGCGGTTAGCACCACTGCCAGCTGTCTCCACGCCCAGTGGTAGAGACTTCCCCAGCTTCAGCTTTGACTTCTGGGGAAAAGAGAGGAGGAAGCTCAGCATGCAGGCTGCCCTGTCCCCCACTGTCTCCATCCCTCAGGCTTATGACTGGCCCTGGATGGGTCCGTGTTCCCTTGACACCCCACGCACCTTGCTGAGGTCTGGGGGGGGGCTGCTGCTGCGGGAGTGGGGCCGCAGGTCTGGCAGGGGCTGCCCCTGGCTCTCAGCCGTCAGGCAGGCTTGGTAGAGTGGGGACTTGACAAAACGTGTGTAGCTGTCGAACTTCATCAGATTAAAGATCTGAGGGGGGAAAAGGTGCTTGCTCAGCATCCCAGCCTGGGGGTCTGGCTCCTGCCTCACTGCTGGAGTGGGACTGGGGGTTTTTGTCTCACTTGGAGCTGCTGGAGGCGAAACATATCTGGTGAGGGAGTTGCCAGCATGTCCTCCCCGATCCAGGCCTGCCGGTCGATGTTGACGGGGCTCACCGAGTGGCTGGACAGGAACTCATCGTAGATCCGCCGCGCCTCCTGCGCCAGCTAGGAACAGGACTCAGGATGGGGCCATGGGCCCTTGAGGTCTGGGGGCTGAGTCCCACCCAAGGCAGGACAGGCACTGGCCTCACACCCAGTACGTCTCGATGGAGGAGTTACCTTGCCCTGGCCCCTCCTGTCCTATTCCTTGTATCTCTTTTCCCATTCCTGCCCCTGGCAGCAGCACCCTCCATCCTTTTGCTGGCCCAGAGATGGAGAAGCACAGCCTGCCCTGCGCCCACTTTCTTGTCCCAACAAGAAAAACCCCATCCTCCCTACCAGCAGTCATACAAGCACCCAGGAACACAGTGACATGATTGCCACCTCCACATATCAGACCACATCCTCTGCATGGGGTCAATACCTGCTGCATGTTGCTGGCTGGGATCTGCTGGAAGCGCTCACATGCCTGCCAGAAGTAGACATTTTCAGCACTAAACTCCTTCTTGAGGAACTCCTGTGGGGCAGAGAGATGCTGGCCTGACTGCACCCAGGGCATGGGGTGCTTGAGGCCAGGACTGCAGCTGTAGTCAGCACAGAGTGTGGGCTGCAGCACTCACAGTGAAGTAGGTGACAGCCACGCGGTCCTGCAGCAGTGTCTCAAAGGACTCGGCCCAGCTGACAACAGAGCTGTGTGTATTGCTGCTGAGGGACTGCACTGCAGGCAGGCTGTTCACGCTGTGGTTGCTGCCCCTGGCTCTGGAGGCATTTAATTCTGAAAGAGAGAGAAAAGGTCAGGTCTGAGTCCCTGGGCACCGTGGCCAGCCTGTGCATGGGCATTCAGCTGGAGTTGAGTCAGCCCCCAAAGAACTGCTATCTGCAGCCCCCATTATCTGCCCCAAGTCTATCTGCCCTATCCTGGCTGCTCCAGCCCTGTGGGATGTGGGATGGGAGCACGAGGAGCTGGGCCGCTGCTCCATCACATCAGCGTCACCGTTGGACTGAGCACAGCGATGGATGGCACAAGCTGACACCTTCCGGCGTGACAACACTCCCTCCCAGGGCTGTCACCTCACTCTGCTGTGACTCATCTCCTGGGAAACAAAGCCGGCGTGTGGGGAAGGCACCCAGTGGGGAGGGGAAGCAGGATGGCAGGAGTAAATGGCGGGCATGTTTCATGGAGAGAGCACGGAGAATGGCTGGAGGTACTCCCCAGGAACCATGCCTCTGCACTGTGCTTCAATTTACCTCCTCCATCCCTCCAGCCCTGACCACTGTGGGAGACGCAGATCAGCTACCCAGGTCCCTAATCCTGCAGGAACCCCTGGTGAGCACAGCTGTTGGACTGGGAGAACCGGCAGCAGGAGGACAGGGCATGCAGGCAGGAGCAGCAGCATCCCGGCTGCTCCCCAGCAGGGAGGAGGCAGCTTGCTGCTCTGCCAGGCCCTTCTGTTCTCGATCAGTCCAAATCAAGGCATGACTTGGCAAACAGGCAGCATCCCCTCAGAGCACTGGGTTCAGCACGTCCCAGCCAGTGCTACAGCTCCTAGCACCCAGGGGCCCAGCGGAGGAGAGAGGGATGGGTGGGACTGCGGGGCTCCCCCTCCCCTGAAGATGCCACCAACCTCATCCCAGCACAGCAAACAGCCTTACCTCCATCTGACACAGCCGGGCCCTGCAGGGTGGAAAGAGAGGTGAGGGAGGGCAAACAGCTAGAGATACAGCCCCAGTGTTATCTACCTACAGCTGGAGCTGTTGCCCCATGGCGGGGGCAGGACGTGGGACTCCCCCAGCACAGCAAGCAGGGCTGTGGGTCTGCAGAGAGCACACTGCTGTTCTCCCACCCGCGTGCCTCTGCCGCCTTGGGTTTAGCAATTGGGAAAGGACGAATGCTGTCAGATGTGACTGCTGCTACGCAGGGAGAAGCAGCCTCCCCAACACAGGAAGAGCAGGGGAGGAAGGAGAACCACAGCCCCAGGCAGGCACGGTGCCCGCTGCCTCCTGCTTTGGGGCCCGGGGCTACTGGAAATCCAGTGCCGAGGGGCTGGAGTCGATCCGTGCCGGAGCTGCTGGCCCAGGGCATCCTGCAGCATCCCCCAGGCCGCCTCGGGCAGCTCCCGCAGGGACGTGGCACCCAGGAGGATGGGCAGAGCCTCACGCTCATCCCCAGCACAGGGGTGGGCAAAGCGCTGCACCGCTTGGCGTGATTCCCCGGGCCGGTGCCCGCTGCCAGCCCCACACCCACGGAGCCGCCTTGTGACCCCCAGCCCCAAAAGCCCCACAGCATCCCCCTGCCCGGCCCCGCCGCAGCCCCGCACCTCCCTCTCCCGCACCCACAACCCTTCCGCACCCATCCCGCTGCCCACCCCCCGTCGCCCACCCCGCACACCCCATCCCCGCACGCCCCAGGCTCGCACCACACCCCAGCCCCACCCTCCCTCTCCCGCATCTCCCCGAGCTCGGTACCCAGCCGGACCCCGCTCACCATCCGCCCGTTGAGGACCGGCAGCAGCTTGCCCTTGCCCTGCATGCCTGGCACGGCCCGGCCCAGCCCGCCGGGCTACCCGCCGCCCCGCAGCATCGCGGCCCGGCCCGGCCCTCCCGGCACCCCCGGCCCCGCCGGCACTGCCGCTTTCGGCTGCCACAGGAAGTGTCGCCATGGGAACCGAGACCGCAGCCGGGGGGAGCGGAGCCGCCCTCCCTCCCTCCGCCACCGCCGGTAGCGGCTGCTCCGGCTCCGCTCAGCGCCGGGCGCCGGGAGAGCGGCGCTGCCCCGGGGCGGCCGCGCGGCGTTGGGGTGCCGGGGAGCGCGGGGCTCCGGCAACCGCAGGGAAAGGGTGTTTTGGGGAGGGTGTTTCGAGACGGGCCGGGAAATGCGAGTGAGTGCCGGGCGGACGGCAGGGCGCCGCGGTCACTGCGGGGCGGATAACGGGATGCGAGCGGGGCCGGTGAGAGCGGCGCCGAGCCGGGCGGAGGTCCGCGCGTGGCGATGGCATCGGGGCATCGCAGCTCCCCCTCCCTTTGTCGCCGCGCTGTTTGCCTTGGCTCTGCACTGCGAGTTATAAATAAAAACTGCTCACCCAGAGCGCGTGAGTCACCGTCCTCCCTGCAGGGATATCTGCGTCGAAACACGAGCCGGGTGTGTGAGAAGCGAGCTCGTGGCTCGGCTAACCTCATCCCGTTGGCTTTGGGATGAGCACTGGCCCTGAGTGGGGCAGCGTGGGCTGTGGGGTGCCCAGTGCCTTGGATGGGCCCTGTGCGGCCTGATCTGGTTTGGGGCAAGTGATGGGGCTGGGGGCTTTAATGTCCCTTCCAACACAGGCCATTCTATGACTCCATGATTCTGTGAACATCCCTGTCCTGCTCCACAGCCCGCGTCTCCCTCAGGCTGATGTGGCTCAGAGCAGCCATATCCCAGCGTCACCTCCTGTCACGCTCTAGGTTGAAGGGAAAGGAATCCCGGCCACACTTTACCCCTGCACAGCCAGCTCTCAGCTGCCCTCTTTTGTGTCTGACCCTGCCCATGGCATCCCTTGCTGCTGACTCCAACACAGTGCTTGTGGTGCCCAGGTACTGCGTCCTCCTGCTGTGCTAGCATCCCCATGAGGTGGGGAGAGGGATGCTCTGTGCCCCCCATTTTACCCCTGGGGTCAGGAGCAGGAAGAGGTAGCGGATGGGTGACAGCTGGCTGGGGGATTTACTGAGGGCATTACTTAATGCTGTGAGTAAATGGAGAAACAGTAGCTAATTCAGGAGGCCATAATCCTCTTCCTCCCCCAGGGACAGAGAGTGTGCCAGTCACGCAGATGCCAGTGCCCCAGGGATGAGCCCCCAGCCTCTCCCTGCGTGTGCTGTGAGCTGCAGCCATTCCCAGACCGTGGGCGATGTGCAAGAGGTGGGGGGGAGGATCTGGCTACATCCCTCCTGCCCCGAGCAGCTGCACTGGCATCAGTGCCCAGCTGGCTGCGCAGCACCAGGGCTTGTCCCCTAGCCTGCCAGGAGCTGCCTGGGCTCCCAGGGAAGGGGACAGACTGGGCGGATCTTCGGTGGGGCCACCCTGAACCTGTGCACCTCGGAACAAAGTCCCAGACTTTGCTCAGGCCACAGACACAGGGCACCCATGGACGACAGGGCACCCAGCTCCCCACTGCAAAATGAGGGTGCTCTGCAGCAACCCAGCACCCTGCAGGACTCTCCCAGCTCCCTGCATCCTCGGGGGCTGCTCTCTGTCATCCAGAGGCTGAGCAGTTCCCCAGGGCAGGAGCTCCGCATCGTGCTGCTGGGGCTGGACAATGCAGGCAAGACCACGCTGCTGAAGCGCCTGGCATCTGAGGAGGTCAGCACCATCACTCCCACCCAGGTACAGGCTGCTCTGAAGCACGCGCAGTGGGAGGGCAATGGGTCCTGTCTTTCTTCCCCTGGGGTGATGCCAGAGTTTGCTTCCCCTCACAGGGGTTCAACGTCAAGAGCGTCCACTCGCATGGCTTCAAGCTGAACATCTGGGACATCGGCGGGCAGCGCGCCGTCCGACCTTACTGGAGGAAGTACCTGGGCAGCACTGACCTGCTGGTGAGCCAGGGGCCATGCCCTAGCAGAGCCCTGCAGCAAGCAGAGGGCTGTGTGATGTGTGAGGAGGGGCTGCCTGCTGTTCCTTTTGTCCCCCCTGGCAGATTTATGTCATCGACAGTGCAGACCAGAAGCGCTTCGAGGAGACAGGGCAGGTATGAACGGCCTGGGCAAGGGGCGGTGGTGAGGTCCTGGGCACAGAAGTGGGGAACAAGGCTGTTTTCTGTGGGCTTTCCTCATGCGGGTTGAGTTGTTCCCTAAGCTGTGTGGGAAGGGCTCATGCCCAGGGCCTCAGCACGCATATCTGTCCCACCCCACAGCAGACCTGCCCCAAGCAGCTCTGCCCACCCTACCCTAGTTGGGGATGATGCCCCAGGGACATCTGACACAGGGTGTCTGTCTCTGATACGGCCACGTAAGAAAGCCATTTGCTCAGGTAGTGAACTGGGAGATGTAAAAGCTGGAAAGCAAAGCAAAGAATGGAAGGTGAGACAGTGTCAGCTGAGGCCATGCTGATGCCAGACTCTGCCAGGAACACAGGCGTGGGCACCAGACAGTGTGGGCTGTCAGCAGCTGCCCTTTGCCCAAGGTGCTCTGGGTGCCAGGAGCGTTCTGCCTCTCAGGCAGTGCTGAGTGCGGCTCCAGTTCTCCTCAGGGCAGATGTAGCTTCAAGGGTTCCCATCTCCCCCTTGGGTTGTAGAGACCTCATGGCAAATTGAGACTCACCAGCACCTGAGAGAGGAACACAGCTCTGTAAGAGCAGCAGCATTCCTGGGAAGGGGTTCTCTCTTGGCAGGAGCTGGCGGAGCTCACTGAGGAGGAATCTCTGATGGGGGTCCCACTGCTCGTATTTGCCAACAAGCAGGACCTGGTGACAGCAGCACCTGCAGCTGAGATCGCAGAAGGGCTGAGCCTCCACACCTACCGGGACCGAGAATGGCAGATCCAGGCCTGCTCAGCCCTGTCTGGAGAAGGCGTGCAGGTACAGAGCGAGCGGCTACCAGCACTGCGGGTGTGTAGCAGCAGGCTGTGCTCATACCTCTCTTCCCCTCAGGATGGAATGAACTGGATTTCCAAGCAGATCATGAGCAGGAAGAAGTGAGAGCTGCAAAGTGACAGAGCTGCAGGTCACTAAGCCACAGCCAACCTCTCCTTCAGTCCCCACATACCCCGAAGGCCTGACCAGGCCCTGAGCCTTCAACTCGTGCTCTGAGGGGTTTCCACACGGTTGTTCACCACTCATCCTCCCTTCTCTTCTCATCTTCTGGGCCTCCACGTACCCTGAGTCCTCCCCCGCGGAGAGAAGCAGGGCCCACGGGCGCCGCTGCACCAGCAGGCACAGCCCATACACAGCACGGGACGTGGCAGTGAGGATGTGGATCAGCGATGAGACGCAGCGCGCTAACGCGATGCGGGGACACTGTGCTGGGCCGGCAGCACGGGCACTCAATAAAGCAGCCGCTGAGCTCCGCACTGCCCCCGCCGCCCTTCTGTGCTGCGCTCCTCTGTCCTTCGCGCGGCACCGCACGCGACACCTGCCGCCATCTTGTGAGGCGTTACCGTGGCAACGGGCTGCTGGAGGGCGGGGCGGGGCGGGGCGGGTCACGTGCCCCGCGGGCGGCACGAGGCGGAGTGGAGCGGAGCGGACTGCGGCTCCCAACACACCTCGCGCTCGGCAGGCGCTAAGCTGCCGCTCCCGGGTTCGGACTGCCGCACGGCGGAAGTTGCGGCCTCGCTGGTCCCGCCCCCACCCCTCCCATAGGCGGGCGGGAGTGACGTCACCCCGCGGGGGCGGGGGCGTAGCGGTCTGGAGGCTCGTGATTGGCAGAGAGGGCCGCCGCTGCGGAGTGGGCGCGGCGCGGCGGAAGGCGGAAACGGAGGATGGCGGCAGGCGCGCAGCTGGTGGCCGTCGCGCTGTTGCTGCTGGCGGGGGTCGGCCCACGGCTGGCCCCCGCCGAGCTTACGGATGGCAACAGCGAGCACCTGAAGCGCGAGCACTCGCTGATGAAGCCGTACCAGGGTGAGCGCGGGGCGCGGCGGGTGGGGGCCGGGGGCCGGGGCCTGGCCGGGGCTGCGCGTTGAACCACGCTCTGTGCACTCGTCACAGGTGCAGGCTCCGCCGCGATGCCGCTGTGGGACTTCCAGGGCAGCACCATGGTTACCAGCCAGTACGTCCGTCTGACGCCTGATGAACGCAGCCGGGAGGGCTCCATCTGGAACCGCGTGGTGAGCCCCGGGGTGGGCGGCTGGCGGACCTTTCCCCGTGCCGGGCTGACACCGAGTCTGTTCCGCAGCCCTGCTTTCTGAAGGACTGGGAGCTGCACGTCCACTTCAAGATCCACGGCGCTGGCAAGAAGAATCTGCACGGGGATGGCCTGGCCCTGTGGTACACGCAGGAGCGCCTCGTGCCAGGTAGGTGGCAGCCCAGAACGGCGGCCGTATCCTGGGCTGCATGAAAGGAAGTGTGGTCAGTAGGGTGAGAGAGGTGGTCCTGCCATTCTGCTCTGTGCAGGTGAGACCTCAGCTGGAGTACTGCGTCCAGGTTTGGAGCCCTCAGCACAGGAGAGATGTGGACCTGTCAGAGTGCCACTGGAGGAGGACCACAAAATTGATCCAGGGGATGGAATGCCTCCCCTGTGAGGACAGTCTGGGAAAGCTGGGGCTGTTCAGCCTGGAGAAAAGAAGGCTCTGGGGAGACCTGACAGCAGCCCTTCAGTATCTAAAGGGGGTCATAAGAAAGAAAAGGACAGTCTCTTTAACAGGGTCTGTTGTGTTAGGACAAGGAGAAATGGTTTCAGACTGAAAGAGGGGAGATTGAGAGTGGATATAAGAAAAAATAAAGCGTTTTACACAAAGCATGGTGAGGCATTGGCACAGCTTGCCCAGAGAGGTGATGTGTGCCCTGTCCCTGGAGACACGAGAGGGGTTGGAGTAGATAACTTTTAAGGGTCCTTTCCAACTCTAACAATTCTATGACTCTGGGTGTTCAGCATGAGCTCCATGCACAACCTGGGTTCAGCAGTGCTTACACGTGTCCTGGGACAGCCTTAGAGCTAGCTCTCTGCAGAGCAGGTTTTGACCTCCCTTTGGCCACCCCAGCTTAGAGAGGAGTGTTCTGCTCTGTCCATCCTGACCTGTGAGCCTGCAGCAATGCTCCAGATGAGCAGTGCTTCTCAGTGGCCATTGTGTTTTTTCCCCTGGGGGCTGTGTGCAGTCTGCATGAGCAGGCCTGGTGCTGTGTCTGCTGTTCTAGTGCAGATTCTGCCTCGTTGGGCTATGCTTTGAGGTGAGGTAGAGCTGTTCTGCTTGTGCCAGCTGGAAGGAATCTCAGTGTCGAAGACCTACAAACCAGGGCTTCAGGATGAAGGTACAGAACAGAGCCATCCCTTTACTGTGTTCTGCCCTGTTCCAGGTCCTGTTTTTGGCAGCAGGGACAATTTTCATGGGCTGGCTATTTTCCTCGATACGTATCCCAATGATGAAGCAACAGAGGTGAGTAGTTCAGGGAGCTCGCTCAGTGCTCAGGAGGCTGATTCCTTGTGGCTTTGTGCTGCAAGTGCTTCATACCTGGACTGAGGAAAACTTTCTTTATGCAAGAACAGATTATTGTTCTTCCTGTCCTATGAGCTGTTAAAGAGCAGAGGATGTATGTGCATTAATGGGGACAGGAAGGTGCTTGCTCCATGTCATGGTGTTGACTGCTCCTTTGCTCCCAGGGCCTTTCCCCTGCTTCTAATAAGACAGTAGACCCTGAATGTGAAATCTATCTGAAAATATATTAATCCCGGGTGTCATTTCCTGGACTTCTCTGACCGTCTCACATTGTTTCTGGCCTTATTCTCCATCTCCAGCCTGTTTTTCTAAAAGAGAAACTCCTGTGCTGGCTTTCTTCCCCAGAATTCCCCACAGCGGTTGTGATCCTTCTGTCCCGCTTCATGTTTGTGGGTCTCATTATGACATGGTTAGACAATGTGACAGCATTAGTGAGGTCTGTTGCCCCAACCACTTGGTGACACTTCAGTCGTAAATTCCTGGGAATTGACCCTATCTGCTTGTCTTGATGTTCAGTGAGTTGCTAATTCTTGCCTCCAGCTGCTCCTTACAGCACACATCACCTACTGACTACAAAATCTTGGATGTGGCTTTGCTGCTGATGTGCGGTTGCTGCCCAGTTTCTGTGCTGTCTGTAGGCTTCTGTCTCGCTCCAATTAATGTCTTACAGCTTCTCACTGGATCTTGTGCATTCTCTGCAAGTTACTCTGGTGGGCACTGTCCCACTGCCATGAGCCTCCGCTGCTGTGTAAGCCCATGAGGGGTCTTAATGCAGATGATCAGATAAGGCAACTCTGCTTTAGGCAGAACAAGCTCTCGCTCATTTTAAGGCCAGCTTTACGTAGGAAAGGAGCTTTGATTTAATAGCTCAGCTCTCTGTACTCACTTTGTTGCCATGCAGTTGCCTTGCTGTTGTTCTGGTCTCACTGAGGTTTCTGAGCAGACAGGGGAAGTTGGCTCTCGGGTCTGCAGCTGAAAGGCTGCTTCAGACTGAAGGCACTAACGCTCTCCCTGCAGCGTGTGTTCCCCTACATCTCTGCCATGGTGAACAACGGCTCCCTGACTTACGACCACAGTAAGGATGGGCGCTGGACGGAGCTGGCAGGATGCACTGCTGAGATTCGGAACCAGAATCATGACACTTTCCTGGCAGTTCGGTACTCCCGAGGTCGCCTGACGGTGAGATGTGCAGGGAGCCCCTTGTTCCTTCTGCAGGGCACCTCGTGCACGTACTGCAGGGTGGTACTGGTGGGTGGGTGGTGCTGTGGCAGTGTGTGGTTTGCCACGTTGGATCTCCTGCTCCTCTGGTTCCAAAAGAAGTGCTGGCTGGGCAGAGGGGCAGCCAGTGTTCTTGGTGTGACTCCCCTGGTCCTACAGGTGATGACAGATGTAGAAGACAAGAACGAGTGGAAGAACTGCATTGACATTGCAGGGGTACAGCTGCCCACTGGCTACTTTTTTGGTGCTTCTGCAGGCACTGGAGACTTATCTGGTGAGTGGGCTTTGCTTGTAGGATTATGTGCTGCTTGGTGCTTGGAGTATAATGCTATGGATGCAGTAGATGGTGGCTTCTTGTTCATGGGGCTTTTGAAACTGTATTGAATCGGGACACGTGGCCTGAGAAAGGAGGCACCTAAAAGCATCTCAAATTATACCTGGGATGTGAGGGTTGCTTGAGAGGGAAGGAGACCTGCACCTGGCAGAGCACAGAGCTGGGGATGCCAGCGTGGGCATTTCTCAAGGCTTCTGACAGTCCTCAGTGCTGACGGTTGCTTCCTAGACAATCATGACATTATTTCAATGAAGCTATTCCAGCTCATGGTGGAGCATCCCCTGGAAGATGACACTGTTGACTGGACAAAGATTGAGCCTAGCGTCAGCCTCCTTAAATCTCCCAAAGGTGAGTGTCTGCGCTTCCCAAACCTTCAGTGAAGGACTTGGATCTTGGGGCTGGGCACCTAAAAATCTGGAAAAATCTGCCACAGTGTGCCTGCCAAGAGGCAGGTGCCTGTGTTATGCATTGGCGTTCAGTGGTTGCTGCCAGCAGCAGCAGAAGAGTGCATTTTGTGGGGAAGACGTCCATCTATCACTTGAGCGCTTGATCTCCCTGTTCTTAGCAGTGCTCCAGCATTGGTTTTTCCAGCAGCTTCCTGCTCAGCAGCAGGGCAGAGTTAGAGCTGAGATTCCCCCACTCTGAAGCATTGGTGGAGGTGAGGCTTGGTGAGTCTCTTGCTTCTCCTTGCAGACAATGTGGACGACCCGACGGGGAATTTCCGCAGCGGGCCCCTGACAGGCTGGAAGGTGTTCCTGCTCCTGCTGTGCGCGCTGCTGGGCATCATTGTGTGTGCTGTGGTGGGAGCTGTGGTCTTCCAGAAACGCCAGGAGCGGAACAAGCGTTTTTACTGATGGAAGAACCCGGGCTGCGGTGCCCGACCCGTTCCTTTTCTATGGGGAGCTGTACAAACTGTGGTTTCTAAAAGCTGTTTCCGAGAAATACAAGAAGTATTTTCTTAACTGTCCCTGTGGCTGTAATCCTGCTGGACGCTTGCTGTCTAGCAGGCTGG